ACACTAATACGTGTTAGTGTTAAAAGGGCATTTTAGAACGAAAATGATCCACATCGTGTTTAACCTAGGATTTCTGAACAGCCCTCTGTCCGCTGAAAACGCACATCATGTGACCACACAGACAAAGTCACACACACTGTCATGCGCTCGTCTCCAGTGAGTAGTGCATGTCAAACAGTCTATCAAGGATGTACCGCTGGATCGCGCCTCACTATACTGGTTAAACGTGATATTCAGACATCCCAAGTCTCCCGGAAGTTCCGGCAGTCTCCCTCAAATGCATAGAGACTCCCGGATACCTGCAAACGAGTGATAATCTTCTGGAAATCGCTCGTCTCCCTCCCAGTCCTCAAAAAAGGCGCGCACCTTTCTCACCCCACACCACCGGATCCCTCCTTGCTCCTCAGACACATTGCACGCACTCTGTCAAACACCGCCTCCACCCTGCCCCCCTCCAGCTTTTTACTAGACGACCATGCCATCGTCCATCGCGATGTTTCACATTAGACATCGTATGATGCCAAATTGGTTGACATCGCCCAACCCTAGTCTACCCTATGTTTAAAGTTCACCCTTAGAATGAGCGAGTTTTAGCTACTTGTGCATTAAAGTGGCGTTCAGAAAAAAAAAAAAACATACGTGAATAACCTCACCACAAAGTAACATAACCTACTGCCAGGTAGCATTTCAGAAGTGTTATGGCAGAGCAACACAAACAGCACGCGGAAGTATAAATGAACAATTAGGCTCAAGGCAGGGTCAAGAGGGTCACGCTATTTATTTAACGTAGAAGAATAAACCAATCTTAAGAGTTTCTGATTTAAAAGTAGCCTAGAGGGCCGTCTGCTGTTCAAAACTAAACTTCAAATCAATTTTAGAGAGAATAGCAATGCCTTCCAAAAAGACTCTATCCATGAACCACAAGACATTGATGTATTGTCCTAGATTTATGAACTAGAAAAGTTTGTTTAATTCAACTAAAAAATGTAAAGCAGCAATTATCTTTTACAGTGAAATCATGTTCACAACAGTCTGAAATGTAAGCTTCCTGTCACATAAAGCCCGTTTGACACTAAGCGTGTAGCATCTCTCTTTTTTTGGCATCCTTGTTAACACATTAGTTCATTTACACTACATGCTTCCACACCGGCGACTTCATTGAAAGAGAGGAGAGGGTTTATTCTCTGTCGACGGGTCTCCTACGTCTGCAGTTTAACAAGCACTTCAACAAGCGTGTTTTTTCCCGCTTGGCAAGCAAAGCTGACGTGACATGGGGGCGTGGCAGCATGGACGATTCTATTTTTTAATTTGATAATCGAAATTGAGCATAAATTTCGATGTGACACCCTTAATTCACACACATACACACACACATAGATAGCAACAAACAAGAGAAACACAGCATCACGCTCTCTCATTCACACACATGCTCGCTCGGGAGCGATATTGTTAGACCGCCCACTTTTGTTCACAGTACACCAGTTACCGACCGCTCCTGCGCTTTATTTGGAAATTTATTCCCACGCCTCAAGAAATCTGGTCAGCTGCGGGAATGCATGATGAACACTGCCCCTGTGAACTGTGAAAGCAGATGTTTGTTTTACTTCTCTGTAAACTATGGCTGTTCATTGCTGCTACTACATCTGAAAGTATCTAAAAACCCCATATTTAATAACATGGGTTTACTCCAAACTTACCTCATGTTTTCAGTCAAGTTTCTGAAATAGATATTACTGTGAGATGATTATAATAGTCACGTTGAATCAATAAAATCAGTCAAATCCTCCTTAAATTCCTAGGTCTCTTCTTTGGAGTGTATTTTCAGTTTCTGGCTTTTGGAAGAGATTCACAACTGATCACAGAACTGACAAAGCTAATCAGGATTTTGAGTTAATTTGGATTTATCATGCAGTACATTGATAAAAATGCCTAATATCAATATATTAGTATTGCATATCCCAGTGCACATAACTGCAATAATATAATCACTCTCCTGTGTCTCGGTTGTAAAATATGCTATAAATCTGCTGTATTAACACTATACTCTGCTCACTGTTACGTACCAGCCTTTAAACAACCAATACTTGTGGCAGACGGGTTTGTAACAATGCAAGTAGCTCCACGTGGCGTTTCAGAGGAGGCAGGTGTGTGTGCGCATACATACATGATGGATGATTAGACCCAGTGCCTTCATGTTTAATGATATCGTTCTCCTGGGGGATACTGGTGCTGAGGGTGTGGATGTAGCACCGGGTATGCACACTAGGACACGTCTGGCCTTTCTCCCCTCTATTTGAGCCGTGTGGTTACAGCCAGACCACAGCTGCCACAGCTCATCTGCATCTGCACAGGAGAACTCGTGAACAGAGCTGGGCCCCATGGCTTGCTTTTCACATCATCACACCATTGTCTAGCTAGCACATAGTGCAGTAAATGGCAACAAAGCAAGGAATTGCTAGCAGATTGCATCTGATACCATGCATAGAACTTTGTCATAATGACAGTTATTAGTGGGAAACATTAGGGCTGCACGATACTGGAATAATATGAGATTTCCTGCAGTATAATTTCCCTAGGAAAATGCTACTTTAATTATTAATTATTTATTAAATGGTATTAAAATTAATACATGTTTTACAGAATTAATTAATTCTAATTCAGACACAAAAGGTGCAAACATTTAGGGATCTTTTTTAATGATCTAGTTACAAAGTCTAAAGCGAACAGCGCAAAAACATTTAGGGCGTGTCCGAATCCACTTTGGCTATTTTAAGGACGGAAAAGTACTGTCTGTGTCCTGGTGCATGGTCCAACAGGGTTGTGCTTATTCTCTTAATGAGTTATGGGTGTGTTCTAGGCATAACGTGCATTAAACCAATCAGGGTCTCATCTCACATTCCCTTTAAGAGTCATAGTGAATTTGCTATTTACATGGTGGACTTTGTAATTTGAAAAACCGAATGCTTCACTAGCAAGAAAACAGTTAAACAGACTATCCGCAGCGCGAGGATAAAGAGTGAGCCTCCTCCATTCGGCCTCTTTACTTTAACTCTTCACTCCTTTACTTTTGTGTATAAGGAAACGGTGGAGACTCACTCTGCTAAAGACATCCATTAGCCTGCATATTTAATTAATTTTTTTTAAGCGCAAAGATTTGTTGCACAACTATTTCTAAATTCAGTTCTAATTTCCAGCAAATGAATAAATGAACAATAATGATGAAGTGTCATGAATAACCTGAAATAAGCCCCCCGACATGAAGATGGCATGGAGGCAGGGTTTTTTATATTTATGTAGAAAATAATTTTTGTAACGTTTTAATCTTTTAATTTTTTTCATATGTAAATATATTTGTGGATTGCTGAACATCCTGTAAGAATAAAGATAGTAAGGCCCCATCTGATTAGTCAAATTTAGATAAACAACCAATGCTTAAAATAAATTATTATTATTATTATTATTATTATTCACACGTCCGTGATATGTCAATTGCATTATTTATTCTATTATATTGTTTATTCTATTATCTCAACAATGATAATTTTGCAATAAATTGTGCAGCACTAAAAAACATCCTCACTTGGGATGCAAAATGGTGATCATTTCATCATCGATATGGAGCATTCGGTCATGTCAAGTAGTAATCTGCAATTCCCTCTCTGGCTCCTCCCCTAACTAACACACACACACACACAAACAAACAAAAACAAATTACTAATGTTTTGCTTCCCACACCTTCTTTACATACCTGAAACTTGCCTACAGCACTTATTCATTGTTGCTCTTATAGTTGTGTAATTTGCTTCCTTGTCCTCATTTGTAAGTCGCTTTGGATAAAAGCGTCTGATAAATGACTAAATGTAAATGTAAGTTGGGATTATAACCAGCCGCCACTGTGAGGTCATCGCAAAGTTTAACCCTAAACCCTAATAGAATGAAAGATTTTCAATTAGATGTTTTTTAAAACCTGTGACTGTAAGTTTTCAAGCTAATTGTTCATCATTCATTCATTCATTCATTTGTTTTCAATCGCTTTTTCGGGGCCGGGTCATGGGGGCAGCAGTCTTAGGAAAGAACCCCAGACTTCCCTCTCCCCAGACACTTTCTCCAGCTCCTCCAAGGGGATCCTGAGGCATTCTCAGGCCAGCCGAGAGACATAGTGCCTCCAGCGTGTCCTTGGTCTTCCCCGAGGTCTCCTCCCGGTGGGAGATGCCTGGAACGCTTCCTTAGGTAGGCGTCCAGAAGGCATCCAAAACAGATGCCCGAGCCATCTCAGCTGACTTCTCTAGATGTGGAGGAGCAGCGGCTCTACTCCGAGCTCCTCCCGGGTGCCAGAGCTCCTCACCCTATCTATAAGAGTGCGCCCTGCCACCCTGTGAAGGAAACTGATTTCGGCTGCTTGTATCCGAGATCTTATCCTTTCGGTCATGACCCAAAGCTTATGACCATAGGTGAGAGTAGGAACGTAGACTGACTGGTAAATTGAGAGCTTTGCCTTTCGGCTCAGCTCCTTTTTCACCATAACGGACTGGTACATCGACCGCATTACTGCTACCAATTCGCCTTTTAATCTCACGTTTCATCCTTCCCTCACTCATGAACAAAACCTCAAGATACTTGAACTCTTCCACCTGGGATAAGGACTTTCCTCTAACCTGAAAATGGCAAACCACCTTTTTTCATGGGAGCCCCATGGCCTCAGATTTGGAGGTGCAGATTCTCATCCCAGCCACGTCACACTCAGCAATGTATTCATATTTATCAGTGCTTGTCATTTATTGTATTAATTATTATTTGTTTATGGTTTTTTATTGCTTATTATAGTTTGCAGATATTTTTCCCTACAAAGTAATTTGAATCAATCTAAAATTATGAACGCTTTCCAAATAGACGTGTAGGTCATTGTGTGAAATTATATTCAAATCTCAATAAAAATTGCAGAGAAAAAAATATTGCAGTGTAATTGTTTTTTGCTAATCTTTGTCTTTTCCTCTTGTCAGATCACATCCCAGAGGACCTGCGGGACCCTTTCTACAGAGACCAGTATGAGCAGGAGCACATTAAGCCTCCAGTGATCCGGTTACTGCTGTCCTGTGAGCTGTACTGTCGCGTATGTGCCCTCATTCTCAAAGGAGACCAGGTGGCCTCTCTGCAGTCCCACCAGTCCGTCATCCAGGCCCTGTCTCGCAAAGGCATCTATGTCATGGAGGATGATGACACGCCGGTGACAGACTCCGATCTAACCTGTCAGCCAATCAAAATGGTGAGTTCATGAGCATAGCATTCAAAACATATTGAGTCATTTTTTGTTTTGGGGTTTGCTGTGAATACTGTACTACTTTTTGGAGTGCACAGAAAGTTTACAAGTAGGTAGGCAAGGCAAGTTTATTTATATAGCACATTTTATACACGGTGGTAATTCAAAGTGCTTTACATAAACAAGAATAAAAAAGACAAGTATAAGAATAAAAAAAAATGATTATAACAGATGTGTTAAAGCAGGTTATAAAAGAATGTAAAAGAAAAGAAAGACAAAATAGTGCGATCTGTGGGGCGTAGCACATAGCTCATTCAGTAAAGGCACAGCTAAACAAATGTGTTTTCAGTCTTAATTTGAATGTGCCTAATGTTGGAGCACATCTGATCATTTCTGGAAGCTGATTCCAGCAGCGAGGGGCGCAGTTGCTGAAAGACGATTTACCCTGCTTTGACTGAACTCTTGGAATTTCTAGTTTATATGATTCTAAAGACAGTGGCGTAGCGCAAAATGCGGAGGCCCCCCTGCAGGCATCGCTGACGGGCCCCCTGATAGGGGGGGGGGGGGGTACGTCATACGTCATTTTGCATATCACTGATGTCATCACGTTCTACCGCTTCTGTTTGTTTAACAGCCTATAATTAATAAAGGGGTATTTATAATTGCACTACACTTTATATAAGCATGTTTATTTAACTAAATTTATTGCTGTTTGAAAACAGTATGTCATTATAGATGTGTAGTGAATGTGCAGTAATCTCTCATATGTAATAAACTCAGACAAGTTCACAAACTGTCACTAAAATATCTGTGATTGTGAACAAGAAAAGAATAAACGGTCCAATTAAATTGTTAAAATAAAGTTGAAGTAGATCGGTTTGACTGTACAAGGGAAATACCTTCACACTGCCTGTGCTAAATCATTTGTCGTCGGTACGCAGAGGGGTGATCTGCTCTCGGGCTGCAGGTGGGAGAGGCTGCTGTACGAGGACTGACTGGGCCGCCTGTCAGTGCTGTGAGGCGGGGGAGGGGCCGGCGGCATCACACGCAGCTCGTTGAGAAGAGTAGGGACGGTACAGTTATGGACAAATGACAGTCTAAAAAAACTCCAATAACACACAAAAAAGTCGCTAGATTTGTCGCTAGGGGGGTCTGAAAAGTCGCTAAATCTAGTGACAAAGTCACTAAGTGGGCAACATTGGCGACAAGCAATCAGAATGAAGTAGTCCACCGCTTGAGAAGTGTTCAGAGAACACAGACGTGTGAACTTTGGTTCCGACCACAGTTGTTCCCAAGAGTTTATTGAAAATTGCGACGACGCGGGGCCCCCCCGCGGTGCGTGCCCTGCGGGCCAGTCCGCTACGCCACTGCCTAAAGATCTGAGTGATCTGTTAGGTTTGTATTTAGTGAGCATTAGGGGTGTCAAAATTAATCGTTTCTTCGGTGCACTTCGATGCAGACGCGGACAATTTGGTATCGGTTCAGTAATAATCATAACCGGTTATTACTGACGTCATTTACCTCATATGCACTCAGTCGCGAGGGAGGCGAGCGCGAGTATTTACAACGCTCTAACTACTTAAAACTCATAAACTATGCACAATTTCACTGTGTGTGTTTGCTGGATCAGTCTTTCACTGAAATATACAGCAAAAGCCCCTATTTCACTGCGATTGAGATAGTGAAAGTACTCCATTTCTTTCTTTTTCTCTCTCTCTCTCTCTCTCTCTCTCTCTCACACACACACACACACATACACACACACACACACACACACACACACACACACACACACACACACACACACACTGTGGCCCATTTGATCTGCTGGCGTGGCTTTTCTTCCCCTCTCGGCTGTTTTACAGCGTTACTTCTGGATACAGAAACACGAGCATGTGCCTGCAGAGTTTTCTCCACCGCATCTATCATGAATCAGCTGTGATCGCCGCTGCTGCCTATCAGTGTCATTCATCTGATGAGCGCAGCGAGCAAGAGCCAATCGCAACCGTTTTTGTTGAGGGTGTGACCAATCAAAGGAGTGTAAGAGAACTAGACAAGGATCAGAAAGCGAGCTGGATATTTATATTTGTTTATATTATTTGCTAAATGCTCGTGTTGTTTAAAGGGACAGTTTATAGTTTGACTGTTTGTATTAAATGACAAAATTGTATTACAAATAGTATATAAATATAAATATATTAATATATTTTAATACAAGAACTGCTGCTGTGAAGAAAATATAAAACTGTGTATAGAAAAGCACCGTCAATGCACCATGATGCATCGATAGATAATCGGAACCGAACCGTGAGACTAGTGTAGGTTCACACCTCTAGTGAGCATATCTGTAATGTATTGAGATAATACTTTAAAATATATTCTGAATGTAACTGGGAGTCAGTGTAAAGACCTGAGGACAGGTGTGATGTGCTCTGATTTTCTGGTTCTGATCAGAATCCTGGCCGTAGCGTTCTGGATGAGCTGCAACTGTCTGACTGTCTTTTTGGGAAGGCCAGTGTGGAGTCCGTTACAGTAATCCACCCTGCTGCTGATAAAAGCATGAACAAGCTTCTCTAAGTCCTCACTGGAAACAAAGCATCTAACTCTTGCAATGTTTTTGAGATGATAGTGTCACTGTGTTTTGTTTATCTAGATTATTTTCTCTTTGTATTCCCCATAGTACAGTAATATTCACAATAGATCCGTAACATTTCTGTGAGAGGACTTCTGTCAGTGTTTTTAGGTGTTACTCATGCTCTGCTGAAAGTAATTAGTTCATTCCAATACGTTGCCTTTTAATATAATATATAAATGGATGGACTGTAAGGAGAAGAATGCCACCTCAAAATGACTTTAATGAGCATACTGGAATTCATTCAGTAAAAATGTTACCGTTGTAGTTTATGCAGTATGCACATTTTTTTTTCTTATTGGATCAAATGTTTATCCTACTTGATCCATATTTTTCAAAATGAATGCACGTCTTTGCATTTTCATCAAACATTTGTTTTATGCGATAATCCAAAATGTGCATAAATATAGGTGGATGGAAACATAGCTAGTGTGTTATCCTGAGCAAGAAGGAATAATAGTAAAGTTGCCTTGGCCAGTATTAATAATCAGACAGAAAAAGCTAATGTGACATGGACAAAGTTTTTTGAAGAGATCTTCCTGTTGTAGATATCTCACTGCACGCACTGGAGAAAGCTGATATTGTTGGCATATCCAGCATCTGTCTTTTCCCCTTATGCATTGCCACTGGATTCACCTGTCTAAACAATTAGTGACTTCAGAGGTTGAACTGAAGTAACACAGAGCGGAGTGGATTTCATTGATTGTTTCGGCCAGAGATGTGCTTTCTCCAGTGAATGGCAATCAGTGATGTTGGCGAATCAGCATTGTACACTCACTCGTGCTTTTATCACTTGAAATGCAAATGTTTGTGGTCGAGCCCACACCCTGTGCAGAGTTTAGTACAGTCTGATCCACACAAACCTGTTAGACCAAACACACAAAGGCTTTGTTAGACGTGTAGGAATGGCTTAATGACTTTAAAAGGTCTAGGTGTCATTTGTTTGCTTAAACACCTTTTAAGTGAGAACATGTAGCATAAATGCCGTTACACTGGCTTTATGTCAACTGCACTTTACACTTTTTTTTTTTTGAAAGAAATTAATGCTTCTGTTCATTGAGCAAAATGCTTAATATAAGATTACAGTAAAAAAATCCCTTTTATTACAGATATTTACTATTTCAAATAATACTTTTTTGTAACCTCAAAGCATTCTGACAGTTATTGTAATTACCATAAATATCTTCACATAAATAAATATATTAAGTGATGATATTATATTAAATGAATTTATAATTTTAATAAATATACATTATCAAGGTAAAGATATAATGTCTATTAATATTAACAATATTTTATATGTATGTTTTTGATCAAATAAATACAGACTTTTGGCCCTTTAAGAATACTTAAAAAATGTAATATCCAAAATATGCAGTGTAATTGAAATATATGAGCAATTCCAGCATTACGGATGTGACATTTGCTGTAAAAACTCAACATATAAATTCACAGAGAAAGTCTATGTTATCATTATATTGAAACATCTCTTTATAATTTCCAGAACAACTAACCACAGAGTTATAGGATCAGAAAAATATCAATCTGTAAACATATTTTGTACTTTAAATGAGAAAACTAAGCATGCGTTATTGGATGTGACCAAAAAAGTCTGCCAGTTTATAGTATACAACATACTGTGTAGAAATTTTGTAAATTAAACTGCACAACCCAAATGAAATAATGATAATCAAAAGGATACGAGTTGCTCTCTATAGAACAAAAATGATTGATTTTATTTAATATTTTTGCATTTATGAGCAAAAAGGGTCATTTTGGATTTGATATATTTCTGTTTTGGATGTAAAATGTTTAATTGCCACTTGTGTGACTTTGTTAAATCAAATATAATAGTTTAAAAACATTGCTAAAGCACTGTAAAGTACTTGCTTACACAAAAAAACTTTAACTGTTTTATGTATTTTGGTGAAAACATTTTTTTTTTGTCATGGCAAGGTTGACGTTTGTATGGAATTGCTCATAATTTTTTTTATTGTAGTTACACAAAATGCATTTAATTGGTCATATGTCGATAAAGAATGTGGCATTGTAAAAAAAGTAAATAAAATTGCAATATTCATTCATTCATTTCTTTTCGCCTTAGTCCCTTTATTAATCCGGGTCACCGCAGCGGAATGAACCGACAACTTATACAGCACGTTTTTCACGCAGCGGATGCCCTTCCAGCTGCAACCCATCTCTGGGAAACATCCATCCACACACACTAATTTACACACACACACACACACACACACACACACACACACACACACACACACACACACACACACACACACACTCATACACTACGGACTATTTAGCCTACCTAATTCACCTGTACCGCATGTCTTTGGACTGTGGAGGAAACCAGAGCACCTGGAGGAAACCCAGGGAGAACATGCAAACTCAACACAGAAACGCCAACTGACCCAGCTAAGGCTCGAAACTGCGACCCAGTGACCTTCTTGCTGTGAGGTGTCAGCACTACCTACTGCGCCACTGCGTCGCCAAAATTGCAATATACTGAAATAAATGCTTTTTAAAAATGTTCTCAGCCTTGCTGAGACTTCTTTTTAAAAACATTTAATCTAATGCTTGTGTACCTGTTGTTAAAAACTAACCTAGATTGTTGTCTGCTGTTAGAAACTAGCCTAGAGTGCCATTTACTACTTTATAAACTAGCCTAGATTGCCATCTGCTATTAGATACTAGCCTAGAGTGCCATTTGCTGTTTAAAAATTAGCCTAGAGCACAATCTGCTGTTAAAAACTAGCCAAGAGCGCCATCTGGTGTTAGAAACTAGCCTAGAGTGCCATTTGCTGTTTAAAAATTAGCCTAGAGCATCATTCGCTGTTTGAAACTAGCCTAGAGCGCCATCTGCCGTTAGAAACATGCCTAGAGTGCCACTTGCTGTTTAAAATTAGCCTAGAGTGCCACTTACTGTTTAAAAACTAGCCTAGAGCGCCACCTGCTGTTAGAAGCTAGCCTAGAATGCCAATTGCTGTTTAAAAGCAGCCTAGAGCACCATCTGCTTTTAAAATGTTGCACACAGCACCATCTGCTGTTAGAAACTTGCCTAGAGCACCATTTACAGTTAAAAAATTAGCCTAGAGCACCATCTGCTGTTAGAAACTAGCCTGGAGCAGCATTTTCTGTTTAAAACTAGCCTAGAAAGTCATCTGCTGTTTAAAAACTGGCCTAGAGGGCCATCTGCTGTTAGAAACTAGCCTAGAGCACCATTTACTGTTTAAAAATTAGCCTAGAGCAGTGGTTCTCAAACTTTTTTCATCAAGTACCACCTCAGAAAAAAATTGTCTCTTCAAGTACCACCATTAAAATGAGTATTGAAGTACAATAGCATAGTTGGCCCAGTTAAGCAGCTACAACTATGCACAGTTAAAAAAACGTGGCAGATTACCTCAGAAATATAGGCTATATGTCATATATTACATATTATATGCATAATTTTTGATACATTTTGAAACGGGTGAAGTATGTACATGACATATTTCATTTCTCCGCGTACCACTAGAAGAAAGTCTGCGTACCACTAGTGGTACACGTACCACAGTTTGAGAACCACTGGCCTAGAGCATTCCACCATTAAAAATTAGCCTAGAACACCATCTACTGTTCAAAAACAAAGCTCAGAGCTGATTCAAGAGAGAATAGTGATGCATTTTTAAAATCTCAGTACAAATGCACAATAGATTTCTCGAACCTTTGTTTGCCACAGCTCTAGCACTTTTTATTTATTGTTTTTTTTTTTTCAGCAGTATGTTATTGTCATAAAAGCCCTTAACAAAGCTACACATTTGAAAAGAAAGCATTGCTGTCTTTGTTTCTGGCTCATTTGCAGCATGCTGATTCATTGGTCACATTGAGAGTTTTGCATTATGTGACACGGTGTACTCTGTTATATTGCACAAAGTGTTAGATCTAGCAAGTTATCTGCGTATATCATGCAAATCGATGTTCATACTGTGCACTGTACAGTAGAAATGTTGCAGACATGACACAACTAGTGTGATAGTATGCTTTAGTACTCCATTTATCCAGACGGATAAGTATCCGGATTATCCGAGTCCAAAGCCCATCACAGTCCAATCTTCTGCCTTATACTTGTCAGACGTCTGACATGCGTATCTGAGAAAAAGCCTCTGTGAAAGTCCGCTGACACTTATTGCCTTGAGTCAGGGATCAGTCTGCTGAGATTGTGCTGACGTGAGCTGTGAGCCCGCATGAACATGCCACTGGTTGACTGCTGTTGGGGTTGGCATGGTAACTGAATGAGCTTTGTAAAGCAGTTCATAGTCTCAAGTGCTATTTTGCAATAGGTTATTAAAATAATGAGGTAGTCTGCAGCATTGGAGCCAAGAGTGTTACATAAAGGTTTTTATATTTGACAAATGTGGAATATTGTGTTGCATACTTTATCTTGATTCTGCTTTATTTGGCAGATTAATTGGGCTCAGGGTTTTGTTTAAGAGCAGTATGGCCTTCTTTGGGCTAAATCGGATTGGATTATTCCCACAAAGCTGGGTGTGTTGTTCTTACCTTTCTTAGTGTGACGATATGCAACATGCCTTAATATTATAAATTGAGCTTATTATGCTTTTTTTCAGTTTGTACATAATGTTTTTTGTAATAATCACAGACCTTTTTTGGACCACAAAAAGATGGTATTTTAGGGTGTCACACTACTACATTTACAATTTTACAGATTAGTTTATTATCATTTATTATTAATTTGCCATACATTACGGATTTACTTACATTTTCATCAAATGTATAGGTTTTTCGGTTGATTAAAAAAAAAAAAAAAAAAAAAAGCGGGTTTCTGTTTAATGTACTCATGTGTAACAGAAATAAAAGGTGTTCTGTGATCATTTTTAGACATATCAGTAGCATTTGTATTAGAATTATGCCATTGAATAGTCTGTAGTCGAGAATCTGATTGAGTCTAAATGGAATATGCACATCAGAATTAAGTCGGAACGCGCACGCGCACAGCCAGAAGCATGCGGCCGGTCAGCATTTGGTCTCATTCGCACACTAAAGCTGGAATTATTATTGCGCCTGGTGCCACATTGCGCACCTCCACTGACCGCGCGCGCACCTCGCGAAACGGACGAGGCGCAGACATGTAAAGTCATCTTAATGTGATCGCTTTAGGTGTCAAAACATAGTGTTTAGTGATAATTCATAATAACCCTCATTTGTGTAATAAACAAACGAGTTGAGGATCAAAAGACACGTGAAAGAGAAACCATTAAAGAGACAGCGCGCAATGTTGTTTTTATCATTAATCAAACAAAACGAGAAAATCCCTCTCTGCTCTTGACTGAAGGATTTTTGTAGCTTAAGTTTTATTCTTACTGTGAAGATGCTTAAAGCACAGTTTGTTTCATATTTTTATTCTATTGTATTTATTTCTTTTTCCTTTGCAGAGAGGAAAATAACTATGTAAACATTGAAGTCAGAATTATTAGCCCTCATGAATATTAGCAACCCTTTTACTGCCCAATTTCTGTTTAATGGAAAGAAGTTTTTTTTTAAACTAATTTCTGAACATAATAGTTTTGATAACTCATTTCTGATTACTGATTTCTTCTTTGCTATGATGACAGTACATAACATTTTTCTAGATATTTTTCTAAATACAAGCATTAAGATTACAGTGCAATTCAAAGGCTTAATAAGGATAATTAAGCGGTTCATTGTATAACAGTAGTTTCTTCTGCAGACAATCAAAAATATATTGCTTAAGGGGGCTAATAATATTGACCTTAAAATAGGTTTCAAAATATTTAAACCTGCTTTTATTCTAGCTAAAATAAAACAAATAAGCCTAGAAGAAAAAAAAATCATGGGAAATACTGTTAAAATTCCTTGCTCTGTTAAACATCATTTGGGAAATATTTATTAAAAAAAGCTAATTCTCAGGAGCGCTAATAATTTTGATTTCAACAGTAATCGTTTTAAATAATTGTGATTACAATTATGACCAAAATAATCGTGATTATGATTTTTCCCAAAATCGAGCAGCCATAATATAAGTTGATAATGCTTCCAGCTTAAAAGAGTATCCCAACAATGGCTTAAGCCACAAAATTAGAGGGTTTATTAAATAAAAATACTTAAGTATCGCTTATTAGCAAAAACAAATGACACAGTGTATTCCAGAAAATAAGTGCAGCAGCGTGACAGTTATTTCTCTTCCGTTTTGTGGCACAGAGTTCCCACATCCCCATGATTGATGCTTTGATGATGGCCTACACCGTGGAGATGATCAGCATTGAGAAGGTCGTGTCCTGCGTGAAGCGTTTCTCCACATTCAGTGCCTCCAAGGAGCTTCCCTTTGACCTCGAGGATGCAATGATCTTCTGGATCAACAAGGTGTGTGCTTCTTCAAACATGCGGCCATTAGTCTTTTCATAATTGTCCGAAACGGCTTGATTTATCATCTGTAATCCTAACAGCTTAAATTTCTTCAAGTGGTAAATTACAGCATTAAATAGTGAATGTTATGCTTGAATAAACATCATGGGTGTTACTTGATGCACTGATCGCTTAGTGTTTTTGTCTAGACCTGCAGGGCTTTGTCCAGATCGTGTCTATTCATGGAGACGTCTGTCAACACGCACTCAGATCCTCTTTATGTAATGTTTTGTAAGTTTCATAACAGTTTTTTCTCTGTGCCGCAGGTGAACTTGAAAATGAGGGAGATCACAGAGAAAGAGCACAAATCAAAACAGCATCTGCTGGAATCTCCAAGTCATCAGAAGGTACCAGACATCTCAGCCAAAGTGTTTCATTCATAGATTTTAGCTGTCTTGCTTATCGAGTGCTGTTTATAACTGGTTTTAACATCTGTTTTGGTGAATCGCAAGTTCATGTTGCTAAAGGCAAGTGTAAATGAGATTACAGAAACAATTAACTTAGTTAAACTGCATTTACATGTTTTACAATTTGGCTTTGCAGAACTTTTTTATGAAGACTTCCCTAGACTGCAAACTATTGCAAATGGACCTGTCGGATGAATACTGCTCACTGTAATGTTAATTTGCAGGATAACTGTGCTTATCACTGGGTGACAAGTAGGGATGCACCGAAATGAAAATCTTGGCCAAAGCCGAATAATAATGAATTGCTTGGCCGAAGGCCGAATACCGAACGTGGTGTTTTGCATTTTTTTCCTTTTAGTTTGCCAATTTTTTCACCATTACAATAATTAAATAGTAAAAATTAGCTTTTTACTATTTTGTGTTGCTTTTCAGAGAAATAAATCAAATAACAAAAATACTATTTCAAAAATATTTATTTAACACTGAACATTTTTTAACATTCCAGCAGATAATATACAAACAAAGCACAATATAACTTAAAATAAATAAATTAGTAAAATAAAAAAATATTTTTATTTGGCCATCTTTGAAGCCCCACTTCTTGAATAGCTGCTGAAAGAATGTAACTATGTCTACAACAACAAACGTGCATTAAATAGTGCAAAAAATGTGGATGACAACAAATGAATAACTGTCCTAGACATACAGTAAGCCTACTTAGCCTACTTCTTCAGAAAAAGTGGCAGGTTCTTCTTTATGAAAAGTAGTTTCTCTGCTGTCTCACATGAAAGTCGGTTCCTCTTCTCATCGATGACATGAGATGCAGTACTAAACAGTCTCTCGCTGTCGGTGCGCGGCTCATCTGTAGTACGAGCCCGTTTACTCTCGGCGCTGTTTTCATCTCCTGCGCTGTGCACCACCTGACCGTCTCCAACACTTATCGGCTTTCCCAAGTCCAACTCGGCCTGGATCATTTCTCGTGTGCGCAGCTTTTTCACCATATCCAAGTAATGATCTTTATATCGTGGATCAAGCTCAGTCGCGATGCATTTCATAGGTTCTGAGTCCGCCTGACTAAATCGTGCGCTGACAGCTTCTAAGAGCGCACTTTTAGCTGTTTTCACTCCTTGGTCTGTTACAGCGTCTTTGTTTAAAATACGCTTTAGTGCTGCATAAAGCGTGCGCCTCTCACTCTACGCGGGTTACTAGGCTATTTGATCGCGTCATTAAAAACGTCATTGTTCGGCAAAATTTATTCGGCCTTTTTACTTATTCGAATTTACTTAACCGAATTATTTCGGTTGCCGAATATTCGGTGCATCCCTAGTGACAAGCTGTTATAATATGCTGAAAGCATTATGTAAATAATATATATATATAATAATTAATCAATACGTCTTATTTCTAAGACAACAACATCAGATGTCATTCCCTCGCTGTAAATGCTAGTGCTTCCGTATTTTTCTGCAACCTTGCTGCGTGCGCATCTTGATTGTTTACAAACATGGTAATTCGTCTATATGTCGGCGCAGTTAACCACTAGGCTATTGGCGCTGACCACTGGAGCATTTTAAAGCCACGATTAATCAGCGGATCGGTCGCATGTCAGCTTATAGGCAAACCAGGTGATTGACGTGACTTCGAAATGCTCCAGTGTCCCTGTGTTTACACTCAGTAAACTGCGGGGAGTTCAGTGAACTGATGACCTTCACGGCCAATCAAAGTCATTTTTGTTGAGCATGTGAACACAATAGACAAACAGCAGTGTTTAAGGGTGCTTTCACACCTACACTTTTGTTTCGGAACCTGTCTCGTTTGTCCAGTTAGCAAGGTTCGTTTGGCATATGTGAAAATCACCACACCAATCGCTCTCGAATCGGCGCCAAATCAATCGCTCCGAGATCGCTTGAATGAGGTGGTCTCAGCTCGATTGAAACAAACTCTGGAGCAGATCTATTGCAGTGAGAAAGCAATCCGATCCGAGCGTGGTTATATCACTGTGTTTTATGGATGTGTAATAGGCATACGGCTATATGAAGAGAGAATTATGAGTAGGACGGGAAGTTTCGCAAGCCTCCGGATGCCCGCAAACGAATGATAATCTCCCGGTAATCTTGCGTCTCCCTCCCGGTCCTCAAAAAGGCTACGTCGCACACCCTTCTCACCCCTCCCCACCGCATCTCTCCTCACTCTTCAGACACGTCGCACGCACCTTGTCAAACACCACCAAACCACCACCTCTCCTTACAGCTCAGTGGGACTCTGCAAAATAAACCCTGACACTCTGACCAATGTGAGGAGAGTTTCCTCAAATGTGTCTTGTTTTAGCTCTTTTGGTCCGATTAGAAACTTTGCAATGTGAAAGCGAACCACACCAAGAGCAAAGAGCAACAATGTAACATTTGTAATCTCGGTTTCGGAACAACTGAATCGATTCAAAGGTGTGAAAGCACCCTAAGAATGCGCTCAACACACTCAGATGTTAGTGGGAAATGGGCGTTTTTAAAATTTCAGTATCGAGTGGTACCGAATTCCAGTATCGTGACAAACCTAATGTATTGTAATATGTTGGTCTATGTATCGACTTGTTATCAACTTGAAAATATAATAATTAAATAATATGAAAGTTAATTTAAATGTAACTTTAGATTTATCCACATTTCGGCTAAACTTTTGAATTATTTATTTCATTTTTTTTTTGTAGAGGTACAAACAAGCCCAATAAGTTTGTATGATAAATTGTAAGTTCCATTGTTCTGTTTTCATGCAGGCCTTGTTTCTTAATTTGAACTGTTCAATGGAGATGTGTTTGACACCGCCCCCTTTATATAATCAAACTTGATTGTTAATACCAGGTGTAAACATGATCTCACATGTAAACTAAACTGACAGGAACTGAACAGATGATACTAACAACTACAACGACAACCCTATGTCTACAGTGGCATCACTCCTTGTGTTTCTCCACTAACCTCATAGCAGAGTCACATCTGTCTGCTCTATTTCTTTCCTGACTTTACATCCCTCTCTGCTCTTCCCCGTCTCTTTCCCTCTAACCTCCTCCCTCGCTACTGGGATAGTCTCCCTCAAAATGGTATTGGAAACTAGTACCTGTAAGTTGGCTGTGAGTGCTTCCTCTCCACTGCACGACTAATATGTGTCACTCCCAATGTACACCATCACCACTCAGGCCACGCTTTTCTCTAATCAGCGCACACTGGGAGACGCTGCAGTCCAGTAGCTCACGCTGTAATCGCACAAAATGATCTTTGAGCACATGCAGTTATGAGCTAACACATACCGCTAAGCGTATTTGTGTGTTTGTGTGTGTGTTTGAGTCTAACTTCAGCTTTGGTCTTCTCATCTCTTGCAGTCATTTCCATCTTCATGTGTCTATTTCTGGTCTGTCTCTCGACTGTGTCTGTCCTTCAGCCGGATTTTAAAGGGATAGTTCACCTAAAAATTGAATTTTCTTTCTGGCATTTACTCACACTTCTCTTGTTTCAAACCTGTTTGAGTTTCTTTTTTTCTGTCAACGCAGAAAGAAGATATTTAGATGATTTCTAGCATTCTTCAAAATGTCTTCTTTTCCAGGGCTGCACGATATTGGAAAAAACTCACAATGCAATAATTAGTTTTTCTGCGATTTACACTCACCGGCCCCTTTATTAGGTATACCTTACAAATACCACGGTTGACGCTCTTTTGCCTTCAGAACTTTAATCCGTCATGGCATAGATTCAACAAGTTACTGGAAAGATACTGGTCCATATTGACATCATATCATCACACAGTTGTTGCAGATTTTTCGGATGCAAATCCATGATTCAAATCTCCCGTTCCACTAAATGCCAATGGTGCCCTATTGGATTGAGATCTGGTGACTGTGAAGGTCATTTGAGTACAGTGAACTCATTGTCATATTCCAGAAACCAGTTCATGTTCAAGCTCAAACCAGTCTGGCCATTCTCCTCTGACCTCTGGCATCAACAAGGCATTTGTGCCCACAGAAGAGCCGCTCACTGGATATATTCTCTTTTTTAAACCATTCTCTGTAAACCCTTGAGATGGTTGTGTGTGAAAATCCCAGTAGATCAGCAGTTTCTGAAAAACTCAGACCAGCCTGTCTGGCAGCAACAACCATGCCACGTTCAAAGTCACTTTAATCCCCTTCTATCCCATTCTGACGCTCGTTTTGAACTGCAGCAGATCGTCTTGACCATGTCTACATGCCTAAATGCATTGAGTTGCTGCCATGTGGTTATCTGATTAGAAATTTGCGTTAACAAGCAGTTGGACAGGTGTACCTAATAAAGTGGGTATACAATTTTGTTGTGATTTCATAAGTTTATTCACTTTAAATAACTCCACAAGTCATGACTTGTTGAGAGTGTGTTCATTATAAAGCATAATAAACAAATTACAAGCATAAATTAATACAAAAGAACAAAGAGACAATTGAAATAGACAGTGCCTTGTGTTGTTCTGGAATTTCAAAGTGTTGAGTTAAAATGTAAAATGACGATGCAATCAAATGCAAAATAACAGTGTATAGTCTTCATTGCAATAAAAAAAAATCTTTGTTAAAGCTACTAATTTTATAACTACTTGTGCCGAGCCTAGCTTGAAACCGTATAGTCACATGCCTTAAAATAAATTTGTTCACTGTAGGTGGTTAAACTAAGGGTTGTTATGATTGCAGTTAAACTATTTCCTGGTTAATTCTTATCACCACTCAAAGTGGCAGTTTCTGTGATGTGACTGTTTTCACATTGCGATAACAATGCTGAAACTATATATTGTGCAGCCCTAACTCAAAGGTTTACAACCGCTTAAGTGTGAGTGAATGTTTAGTATGTTATCATTTTTGGGCGAACTGTCTTTTTAAGTCTGAACTGGCCCACTGCATGCTGGAGCCTATGGGGTTTCATGAGTGGAACAGAGATACTCTGTCTCCATTTTGCCGCTTTTTTATATTTTGATCTGTTTAGGAATGTATAGTATGTGCACAATTGATTTAGCACATTCACAAGATCACAATTATGGCTGCTGTGATTTATGTAGAGGATGTTCTGTTATGTAGAGGAATTTTCTTGCATTTGCTTATTTATTTGTTTATTTTGTAGTGGTCAACTGATATATTGCCAAGGCTGCTCTGTATGATGCTGATATTTGTCATTTTGTTTACGTTATTTTTGATGGATATTTTTCATTAATGACATGCAGAAGGCAAATCTTTTGTTCACATGCTGTCAACATGGCCTGGACTGTTGAAGTCGGAAAAGAAAAGACTTGAAGGGATTGAATATTTTGGAAGTACACTTACCATATACTGAAATGTCAACAGATTTTTTTGGACAAGTGATCTACTTTTTTTAGATTGCTGTTAATAATGTCAGTCCATTTTACTGCTGAATATCTATTTCAATCTAGATTCATTTGATAGTCTGCTAATTAATTATACCTAGCTAATACTGTTTAAAATAATTTTTAAAAGTAACTTTAATACTTTCATCATAAATGTCTGAATATAATGATTCCAAGCAAAGCAAATGGAATGCTAGCCTTTAACTGAGAGGATGCAATTTCCACGTTGTACACCAACTTTAAAAATACAAAAAAATATACAGTATATTCATCAAATAAATGTGTATATCAGTTGATCTCTATTATTGTTTGGCTTTTAGATTTTTTTTGTGTGTTATGCAACAATGTCTAACTTTAGTACTGTTTGTAACAGTAGTATATCAGTGTTTCTTGCTTTTGTGATTCATATTCTTTTAAAGTATTTGGTGGAAAGCCACTGTTCTACTGTATTGTTGTTTAAAGGAACAGTTTACCCCTAAAATATATATTCATCAACCTGGATCTGTACATTATAGTCGCTAATTTGATTTGGTTTAAGTTATACAAAATAATTTTTTATTATATTTTTTCTTTTTTTTGTAAAGATTTTTTCCCCATTTTTCTTTTTTTGTGATAGATTAATAGTTATATTGTTTTATTATTTTTATTAAGGGCTCTATGCAGCTCTGACACTTTGATAATTAGAAAAACAAACAATTGTTGGAGTGGATACTGCAGTTTTTCAAAATGCGTTGCCATTCTCTCCTGAAACAATTCAGAGTTTAGTTTTAACAGCAGATGGCGCTCTAGGCTTTACAAACAGCTGTACTCTCTTGCGTTCAATTTATTACAAATACTAGTCTACCTTTACTGTCTTTTCCACATCCGAGAGAGTTACGGTGTGGAGAAGCCCTAAAAATTGTGTACCACCCAGACTACATTTTATCAAATTTGATTTAGTTTACAAGTAATACAACAGTTTTTATTTTATTTTTTTCCTCTATTATTTTTTCAGTTTTTCTTTTTCGTTATAGGTTAATAGTTATTGTTTTTCTTATTAATTAATACATTTATTTATTTATTTATTAAGTGCCCTATCCAACTCTGTCACTTTGATAGTTAGAAAAAAAGAACAGTTTTACATTTCGCTAAAAATCTCATGTTTTCCTAGGAAGAAAAAAGTAGTATATTTTGAACAGCATGTGAGTTGGTAAATAAAGATATTTATTTATTTATTTATTTATTTATTTATTTATTTATTTATTTATTTATTTATTTATTTATTTATTTATTCAATAATGTGGGGTGAACTATTCCTTTAAATTGTCTTGTATTCTTATTTGCCTGTAGTTGTCTGTCTAGGGTTAGATCAGTAAATATTAATATATTCAACTTCAAAAATAAAATGCGTTCCTCTTCTCGAAAGGTTTCTTGCCTACATGACACCAGTACCCTGTATCAAAGGTTACATACTGAAATATAATCATTATTATTGTAGCTGATTCTGACAGGTTTTCTTTCTTTCATATCTTTTTCAGGTACGGTATCGGCGAGATCACGCTTCAGGTCGACAGCTTCCCTATTTCCAGATGCTGGAAGACCTGATTAGAGACGTGTGTGACGGTGCTGCATTGCTGACCGTGGTCCATTACTACTGCCCTGAACTGATGAAGCTTGACGGTACAATCAAACATTCTCTACAGTTAAAGTCTATAAATATATATATATATATATATATATATATATATATATATATATATATATATATATATATTTTTTTTTTTTTTTTTTTTCTCAAATATTTCCCAAATGATGTTTAACAGAGTAAGGAAATTGTCACAGTATTTTCCATAATTTTTTTTTCTTTAGATAAAGTCATTTTGGCTAGAATAAAAGAATTTCAAGTATTTTTTTAAACCATTTTAAGGTTAATATTATTATTTTTGGTAGTAAATTCTGGTAGTAAAACCCCCTAAAAACAGTTTAAACACTCTTCTTTCACCCTGTTTGCTGCTTGCTCCTGAGCAGTTTATTTTATGTAGACCTGACTCAGAGTTACGCCATTGGTTCAGTTGTTGCTATGTCAGCCTGCTCAAACAAACAGCACAGAAGTTTTGATGGCGCCAAAGTGCCTGCATTCTTCATAAAATCAACATAGGAATGGTTTGCTTACAGTTGTTTGCTGCATATTAAGCTGGAAAAGAAGGTATTTTTACACACTTGTACTTTATTTCTTTGCAGCATTATTTCTTAAAGGGATACTTCAACCAAAAATGAAAACTCTGCTGTCATTTACTTATCGGAGTTGTTTCCACCTGGTCACATCATGTTTTATTTCTGATCAATTAGCTAATCTAATTACACTTGAGCACATAAATGTATCTCCCTTAAATTGATACAATTCCGATCTTTTAATCTCACACTATATAGTAATTTTACTGTTACGTCGACTAAAGCATCAGATACACTGCATTTTATTTAATTAAGATTATTATTTACAAAAACGTAAGCATTACATCTTATTTAGCATTCAAATTATTTTATATGCAGGCTTAAAAACAATATTACAACATCACAAGGCGGGCTTCATGATTATATTGATTATAGGCTATGGAACATATACACTTACCGGCCACTTTATTAGGTACACCTTACTAGTACCGGGTTGGGCCTCTTTTTGCCTTCAGATCTGCCTTATTCCTTTGTGGCGTAGATTCAACAAGGTTCTGGAAATATTCCTGAGATTTTGGTCCATATTGACATGATAGCATCACACAGTTGCAGAGTTGCTACAGGTTTGTCGCCAGAATTCGAGACTCATCAGACCAGGCCTGTGAGCCTGTGTCAATTCTAGCCTCAGTTTCCTGTTCTTTAGCTGACAGAAGTTCAGTGGTTTGAACTGCATGTCATTTAGGCATGTCTACCCTGCCTAAATGCATTGAGTTGCTGTCATGTGAATGGTTGATTAGAAATTTGCGTTAACAAGCAGTTGGATAGGTGTACCTAATAAAGTGGCCGGTGAGTGAATTTTTGTCATATAGGTACATGTAAGACATCATTCAAAACTGTAAAGGGTTTAAATTTATGTATAACATACTCTTTTAAAAAACAAAACAACTTGCCTTTGTAAACGAATGTAACACTACATTCTATTATTATTCCTCTCTTCACAGTGTTGATTTAATTTTTATGATTTCACAATTCAGTCAAAAATAAATGAAAAATAAAAATTAAAAAACTGTTGTCTGTGGCCTTTAGTGTATCTGATAGTCATATAGCCCAGTTTTTTTTTTTTTTTTTTTTTTTTAAGAGTGAATTTTACATATGTGGTTTTAACAACCAGATACATTTAGACCTGTCCAGCTTTGTGTGTATTGTGTCCTAGAACACCTGAAGTAGTTTAATTGGATTTTGTAGTCGGATTTATATCCGTCTCAAATGCATTTTGGAGGGTAATTATACCTGTTCTTTTCTCGATTGGGTGGCTTTCTAGTCAGAAAAAATGCGTTAAGTGACCAGGTGTAAGCAGTCCCATCCACTTTGAGTTGAATACAAAGGAAGATATTCTGAAGAATGTTGAAAAATCCAACCATTGTTTTTTTTTTTTTGTTTGTTTGTTTTTACTAATGATGTCAGTTTTTCCAACATTCTTCAGAATATCTTATTTTGTGTTCAACAGAAAAAAAATCATTAAAGTTTATGACCACTTGAGTGTAAGCGTGAGAGAATTATTACTATTATTATTATTATTGTTATTATTATTATTTTTCTGATGTACTACTATCACTAAAGCTTGGCATGAATTAGTCGTATTTTTTTACACAGTTAAAATAGTTTGGTTGTTAAATCACTTGTGATTCAAAGAAATTAGTTTTTTTCCAGTGATGTTTTTTACATGATGATTTTATGACATATACATGGCAAAAGATGAAAGAATATGAACACTTGAGGGGAGATGAAAAAACAAACATTGAATATTTTGATAACTTATAAATGATTGAGATTATTATAGCAGTATAACAGACTTTTTACTTGCTTAAAAAGTATAAACTAGAAGATGTGTAATAAGTCGTGTGTAATACAAATCGACAAGTATTTGAATTGTTGCTTGTTTAGCGCTTTATGAAATGATGACGTTTTAATTTCTATTTTTTTTTCTTGCTTTCTTTTAACTGACTCTAGTTTTATTGCTTTTCATGCTTACCTTGCATTCATTGCCTCTTGAGCAAAGCGGCAATTATGTGAAATAATATTATTTCACTTCAACATGCAAGCAACTATTGATCTCGTTTAGATTCAGCCCTTGGTTTAGAGTTCTGCATAAGGATAGCCTAACCTGCTTTATTATATCATCTGCAGATATCTGCTTGAAAGAGGTGACCTCAATAGCAGACAGCCTTTATAATATCCAGCTGCTGAAAGAGTTTGCCAATGAGTACCTTAACAAAAGCTTCTATTTGACTCTTGAAGACCTGTTATATGCACCACCTGTGCTCAAGGTAAGCTACTCAGCTGTGCATAATGCATCTCAGGATGTTTGATTTGGCACGGGCTTGTTCTTGACTTGCTGTTCATTGTCGTCCGCAGCACAATGTCATGGTATTTATAGCGGAGCTCTTCTGGTGGTTTGAGATCGTCAAGCCTGAGTTTGTCCAGCCGAGAGATGTTCAAGAGTTCAAAGATGGTGATTTTAATATTATTTTTATGTCACAATTTACAATAAGGTTTCATTAATGAGTAGTTAGCATGAACTAAGAATAAACTATATTTGTACAGCATTTGTTAATGCTAGTACTAATTTAATATTAAAATATCGTAATCATGTTGAATCCTGCACTTAATGAGACAATGTGGGAACCAAAATGACAGAGCCTTACATTTCTGTGATGGAAGTATTCTCATTATTTTGAATACATGGAATAAAATGGCATTGTATCAATGGACAGTGATTTTACTGAACTAATATACTGTGAAGGTGTAAGTTATATACAGTGTGTTGTTAAAGGGTCACGAAACACCAAAACACATTTTTTGAGCTGTTGACAGTCGTATATGTGTCCCACACTACTATAAACACTATTAGGACACCTATATTTCACTAAAAAGTGTAAATTGGTTGTTTTTGCGTTATTTCAAGCAAATTCGTACTTCCTGTTTGAAACGAATTTTTGAAGCTGCGTCACGGTCATGACATAATAGCGTGTATTCCAGTGTGCAGACTGGACGTCTGTGCCAGAGTGAGTCTTATTACGTCTTACAGTGTGATGCATTAATGCATGAGTAAGGCTTGGTTAAAACCAATCAGCGCGCTCTATTGTGCAACTTCATTAATATTCATTAGTGTCACAGTGTTTTCACGACAGAGATGCCACGTTGTGTTGGCAAAACAAGCGTGAAGTGTTGCTTTTATAATTTGCTGCCGTTAAGTTTTGTTTTCATTTTCTCTCTGTGAGAGCGCAGCTGGCGTCACGTGTGGATTAACAGTGTACGCGACGCTCGACAACAATAACTTACGTGTCTAAGGAGGTTTATTGTTTACCTGAGAGCTGTTCTCATCTGCAAACGCTGAGATCCGGATTCGTTTGTAGTATTCTCTTCATAAAGACACGGCTCTAGTTACTGGTGATTGTCCTGTCTCTACAGATTTGGTAAGTGAGCGACCAGTGCTCTTTGTTTATTCAGTTTGCTCGTATCGAACTAAGTTAACTATTGCACCGAGTCACCGAGTGTAAACACGTTAGCATCACAACCAAACTTTAACCTCGTGTAGGGTTTTTACCGCATTTAGTGACCGGAATAACACACGCGGCTTTCTGACGCTACCTGCCGTGTGCATCTAAGTTTCCGGGAAATGCGGAGGTTTTTTTTCTCTCATTCGCCGTGTGGTATCAAACATTGCATGAAAAATACACGCTTAGAGCAGATCCTCGAATCAAATATCTCGTTTGTCGCGAGGGGCATGAATGAATTCCCTGAATGAAAGAGCCAAACTGCAGTTAAAGTCCAACATTTAATAATTTGGCAAATAAGTCGACTACAGATGTCCATGTAGGTTAAACACCATCACTTTCTCCTGTGTGTATTTTGACTCTGAAACTCGCGCGTGCCCAAATAGACACTCCCACACCATCCCACTTTAGTTCCTCCGACACTCCCCCCTAAACAGAGCTGGACACGCCCACTTTTCTGACTTTTTCCAAAGTAGAGGTGTGAAAACACCCTGCTGAAACGAGGGGGTTTCATGGCCCTTTAAATGCAGAGCTCCTCTCTTTAAAAAAATGAAAAATACCCTGCAAGTTCTTAAAGAGATCAAGCCTCAGCCACGTTTGAAAAAGTAACTTAAAAGTACCGTAACGCATTACTTTCCATCAAAAGTAACTCAACTAGTTACTTTTTTGGAGAGTAACTCAATATTGAAATGCAATACTTTTAACTTCAACTTCAATAGTCTCCAACACTGTTGATAATATGAGTTAAAAATTAATGTTCTCTTTACAGCAAGAGCAGTGAGCCAGCCCAAGAGTGCCAGGCCTACTGTGCCCATTTCCAACGCCACAAAACGAAGCTTCCTGGTGTCTCCGGGTGCGGCTGATCCAGTGCTTCCTGTTCAGAACAGCCCGGAAGTTTGTAACAGGTACTTCCTGCACCCTGAAGAATCTGAGCCTCTGTAAGTGCTTTTCCATGCTTTTGTCTATTCCATGTGTGAAGTCATAAATTGTGGTAGTTGTGAGTGTAAGTCAACCATTTCGATGTAAAGATATGCTTGGTTCATTTTCATGAGACCCATTTAAAATTAAATATCATTTATTGTATTATACATACACTACCTAGTCTTGTCATCGATTCCAGTTGTAAGAGCAACAAATAATAACTTGACTTCTAGTTGATCATTTGAAAAAGTGGCAGAAGGTCAATTTTTCAGATGATTCATCTGTTGAACTGCATCTAAATCATCACAAATACTGCAGAAGACCTACTGGAACCTGCATGAATACAAGATTCCCACAGGCGTCAGTCAAGGTTGGTGAAGGAAAAATCATGCTTTGGGGTTACATTCAGTATGGGGGTGTGCGAGAGATCTGCAGAGTAGATGGCAACATCAACAGCCTGAGGTATCAAGACATTTGTGCTGCCCATTACATCACAAACCACTGGAGAGGACAAATTCTTCAGCAGGACAGCGCTCCTTCTCATACCTCAGCCTCCACATTAAAGTTTCTGAAAGCAAAGAAAGTCAAGGTGCTCCAGGATTGGCCAGCCCAGTCACCAGACAATTAACATTATTGAGCATGTCTGGGATAAGACGAAGGAGGAGGCATTGAAGATGAATCCAAAGCGTCTTGATGAACTGGGAGTCCTGCAAGAACTCTTTCTGTGCCATTCCAGATGACTTTATTAATGAGTGATTTGAGTCATTGCAGTAATGGATGCAGTCCTCCAAACTCATGGGAGTCATATACAATATTCATTATTTTTCCACTGCAGCATGACTTTATATTCTATACTGTACATTATTTCTGTTAAGTGACAAGACTTTTATCTAAGCAAAGACGGACCTTACTCTTCTAATTTAATAATTAAAAATCAAAGGATGATCATTTTATTTTGGTCAAATAAGCGTAATCTAGAGGCCTTCGCCTTTCATATAAGCCACTTCTGAGACCAAATCAAGTAGAAGTCAAGTTATTATTTGTTGTTCCTAAACCTTGGTTAGGCGACAAGAGTTTTATCAGGTAGTGTATATTAAACATCATTTAATTCACTAATATAATTAAAATCATTTCATTTTTATAATTAGTTTAGTTTATTGCTTATCTAAATCTGTTTCTATCTGATTAGTTCTGCATGTATTTTAAAAATTTTACATTTAAACTAAATTTTAATGCATTTCGTTTTATACAGGAACTAAAATTAAAACACACAGTGCAGTTTTGGCTAATTGTGTCAAGATAATTCTTTGATCGATTAGTTTTTTTGTTGTTGTAGATACTAATATTATTATAATTTTTGTTTATTTTCCTCATAAATAAAATCTCAAAACAGCGTAGTAATGTTAATACTTACCTAATGCAAACTTTATTTGATGTGCTTGTGGTTAAATTAACATACTGCCAGAGTTTCATCTGTTTTGCGTTTCTTATAAACACTCTTGCTACACAAGCAGATTGTATCATGTTGCATATTGTGCTGATTTTGGAAGTTTGCACATGCCAAGTCATGATCTAAGCAGTACAAGATTCCATATGTTTGGGAAGTGCATGGACATGCATGTATGCACTTCAGAGTTCCACTTTGCATGCTTGATTACGATTCACACCTGAATCATACAGTGTCATAATGTCTGTGCCTTGTTCTGTGATGTGTATGTCTTTTTAGCATGTCAAGACTGTGGTACTTAAAGTGGTACTCCACCCCAAAATGAACATTTTTCTTTCAGTTCACTCACCCTCTAGTAGTTTCAAACCTTATGATTTTGACACAACCATGACTTCCGTAGTATTCGATCTTCGTACTATGGAAAGATACCGATTTTAGTTTCCAAACCGGTTTAAGCTACTTTCTTCTTTTGCATTTAACAGAAGAAAGTGACTCAAACTAGTTTGGAACAAGTGAAGGGTGAGTAAATGATGACAGACTTTTCAGATTTGGGTGTAATATCCCTTTAAAGGAGTTAGAAAAATCACTGGGCTTGCTCTTATTTCACAGGCAAATAAAATACAAGCTATTTGGGCGTTTTATTGCAGTGCTAATGCCAGTAATACTGCTCTGTAACTGTGATATTTGGACTGCTGTAGATCCAGATTTCTATATAAGGTCCTACACAGAGCAGTGCTGTCTATATTTGTCCATTCAAATGGAAAATGCTTTGTGTCAGTTACGATTAGATTTTTGTTGGATAGACCTCTGGGGGCCTGGAGATCATTCGTTTTCAGTTTTTGTGCTGGTGGTTTGCCAACTTTGTTCTCTCTGCTTGCTGTTTCAGTAACAAGGGGAGTTCTGGCTTCAGCCCCTCACATCCACTTCTGCCACTGAGACAAAGACAGAAGAAAGCTCAGCCAGCAGAGGAAAGCACGGGTATTGAATCAAACTATGGCCATTCAGTTCAAATATGTTTTTATGCTTGCATGAAAAATGTACATAAAACATGTTGAATCTAATTCAGTTTTTTAATATTTAATGCCTGTATGTAGTTTATGACAGGTAAATCTAATCTGCTTTGTTTTGTTTTATGGCAATCTTTACTTTCAAAAAGATGTATAGAGTTTACAAAACATCATAAAGTGTGAATGTAATAAATTCCTAAAGAAGAATAGATTCATGTTTAGAACACAAGTTAAGAACAATCTCCTAATTAGAATGTTTTTAGGAAATACAAAACGGTGAGATATTTGTAAATGTTCATATATACAAAATAATTATTTTTTAAATATTTTATTTGTTTGCTCATACTTTTCTGACTCTCATTTCTGGTTACCATGAACCAGGAAAACATAGTCATAAAACTGTAATTTGTGAAATAAACTTTAATAAATTTTTACACCTATATTAATGCTGCACGATTCTGGTTAAAATGAGAATCTCAATTTTTTTTTGCTTAAAATCAAGATCACGATTTTCTCACAGTCGGCTGTTATTATTTCTCAAACATACGGTAAAACAGCAATAATAATATTGGGCCTATGTGTAGGTCTACTGTTGGTTTAAATGCTCAATTTTGTATAGACTAGGAATGGTGGACTTGAATAGACTTTGAATATGTCCTGTTGTTAATGCACAGTAAAGTGACGATATCAGAATAAAACTATTCTTAATTCTAAAGATGGATTATTATGTTTGAGACATATGCTTGTCATTTGTCATTGACAACATTATTAGACCATTTTCTTAACTGGTAAAATAAAACATTGTCATTATCAGATTCCCTGTTGCATTATTATTAACATTATATTGGCTAGAGCAGTTATACTGACACTGTGTTAAACATTTATTTTAATGCACAACACTTTGTGTTCGCTATGAAAGAAAACAACATATCAAATGCTTGTCGTAATCATAACTGTAAAATGTGATATGAACATTTAAATGATGTGCACACTTTCAGATACACTTTCACTGCCGAGTGCAGTTCATGTCATGGCTGCCGTCACTTTGAGGAAAAAAGCATACATGCAAATCAAACTTCCCATGTGCCTCTTAAACTATCACTCTGTGCAACAAACTAAACGTTATTTACAACTTTATTAGCTGGTATTCACAGCCTATGCAGGTCCTATTTACTAAAGTAGACATCATTTGCGGGCACACACACATCCTTTCAGTAGTAAACAAACAGTGCGTCAGCTCATGTATCATTCGCAGCCACAAATACATCATTACATTAAGATGGAAATGACATTTTTGGGTGAATTATACCTTATAAATACAGTATGTGACGCTTTTAACGCAGTTTAGAGGTGCCCATGATGCTGAGCAATGTATGTAAAACCACTTAAAAAATAGTGCGACTGATCTATAATTGGCTGAATCGTAAAAAATGCAGAATTAAAATCGTGTGTAGGGTCGAATCAAGATCTTAATCTTTATTCGATTAATCGCGCAGCTCTTATCTATATATTTCAAGGAGTTTGTATGAAAGCAATCAAGTAATCAAATTATCTGTGTTGTGCTTTTCTTACCAGCTTGTCGAAATCGATCTAATTCATTGACGCAAGAAGGTCATCCCAGAGGATCTGTGGCTTGGTCAGATAAACGGCAGCGGTACAACACTAATAAATATTAATAATAAAATAACACCAATAATTACTTATGCTTGCTCATTTAATGCAATATTTCAGAAGGCATGCTTTATTTAGCTTGCTAATGCCTCTTTTATTATAATCAGGCCACTGTCTCAGCTGAATCGGTATGTTCTTCACTCTGCTACGGACAGTGATGCAGACTTGGCCTCAGGCGACAGCGTTAGTCTGACTTGCTCTATCAGTGAGGACAGCCTGGCCTCCACGGTCACACCCAAGCATCAGAGCCATCCAGGTCAAGGGAGTGTTAGACGGATCAATGGTCATAGTCTACTTGGCAACGTTAACATGGATGAGGAGGAAGAGCTGGTAGCCATTGCCAGGGCCGATCCTTCCAAGAATGACATAACACTGACAAACTCTGAGGATACAGAGCGACAGGGTGTTACCCCTGGTGCTAAAAGCATTTGGGGAAGACAAGAGGATGCATCTTCAGATTCCCGAACAGCCAGTTTCTTCCTGGAACCTCTGATGCCTGCGGTTCTTAGGCCAGCCAAAGAAAAATCTATAAGTTTAAATAAGGAAGAAGAATCTGGAGAGGGACGGCAGAGAGGGTCAACTCGGAGAGTGGCTGGAGCAGAAAGTGCTGCTTCATCTACACGACGGAGACCTCCACAAACTCTCAACCGAACTTTTACCCCTAACACCAGCTCTGAGTTTGAGACCACTATTGAGCCTAAATCAAGTGAATTTGTGCCTCCAGCCCCTGGGCAAATGCAAGCTTTCAGACCACTGGTGACAAGTAGCGTTGAGCCATCTTCTGCTGAGCGGTCACCTGGGTTTTACCTTCATTCTTCGGTCACTGAGGAAAAGAGGCCTGTCCAAGCGTGGGACGCCCATCCAGGGACATCTGATATAGAGACAGTGGAAACTATTGAAGAGCAGGATGCAGAACTCACCAAAGAGCTCCACCCAGACAAGAAGCAGCATTTTGAGGAGGAAGTAGAGTCTGCCAAACTGCGGGAGGACATGAATGTGAAGGAGCATGAGGATAAGGATGGTGGGAGCAGGTGCTCTAGCCCTGGCCAGCAATCCCAGGTCAGCAGTGTAGCTAGTGGGAGTATACGAATGACCAGCTTTGCAGAACGAAAAATGCAGAGGTTTGGTAGTAATCAAGATATCCGCTCAAGCACAAGCAGCTCACAGCGGACTACACCAGACGGCTCAGAGAGTTGCCCCCTTCCTCTGACCTCATGGAGGATGAAGAGAGACCAGAGTCCCACACCACAGAACAAGGACAATGCCAACATGCTGGCATCGGAACTTGTTCAACTCCACATGCAACTTGAAGAAAAGAGACGTGCAATTGAATCCCAAAAGAAGAAGATGGAAATCTTGACAGCAAGACAGCGGCTTAAGCTTGGGAAAGCAGCCTTCCTGCACATAGTCAAGAAAGGCAAGAGTGACACTCTCCCGCAGCCTACCAAGTCTGAGTTCTACTTGAAAGAGGGCCAAAAACTCAATGAAGAAAAGGAGGTGTCATCAAAAGATGATACCTGCGTTGATGCCTTGAGAGACCGGTCAAAAGAGGCTGAAGAGCCAGAGAAGGCATCTTGCGAGTGGGCAGGTGGTGGGACTGTGTCTTCTAGTCCCTTGGATGTGGAGGAGGAGGTAGATCTTAATGAATGCAATCGCTCTATTGAATTACTAAATGAGGCCATAGGAAGCATTCAGCAACAGATGATGCAGCTTTCTCTTCAGCAGGAAATGCTCATGAAGCAGAATATTCAATCGCCAACAAGTGCTACTTCACCACTTGCCAATGACCAGATCAACACATCTGAACCAAGGGTCAGAGCTTCAATACATTTTGTTGAACCAAGTGGCAGCCCTGTTGTGCGAAAGCCACCCAAGCTAAGCTCAGCACGGCCACGCTCCAAACCTTCAGAGCTGTTGCTAGGTAAGGAGCATAGTAAGGGTCAGAAGAGCTCCACTCCTACACCTACTGATAGCCCTTCTGCAAGGTCCATTCAAGGGGGCAGGACCCCCAAAGCAGAGTCTCAGGACTTTGTGCAAAGCTCTGTAAGATCGGAATCATTCAACAAAGATAAAGGGAATCACAAAGGCACTACATTCCACCTTAATGATGAAGCTAATATGAGGATGGTCTCAAGGGAACCCAGTTCTGTGGCACTTGGAGTCACTTTTGAAGAATCCATGTCCTTGAGGGATACAGAGACTACTTTTGATGATGGCACTGCAAGGGATAACCTTATATCCTCAGAGGATATTTCTAGAGGAAAAGCCAATCTTATTGAAGTTGACTTGTCTGATTTGGCTGCCAATACAGATGATGAAAGCACCAATGCATTGGATGTCACCGCTGATGGAAGTGATGGGGAAAAGAAGTCTGGCATGGGCTTCTTTTTTAAGGTAAAGACAATGAAATTCTTTGTTTTGGCAAAGTATTCATATTGTGTGCTTTATATTTTATTAATACAGTTTGGATTAGGGCAGGGGTGTCCAAACTTTTTGGGCCGAGGGCCTGATGCAAAAAAAAAAAAGTTGTCCCGGGCCATATATTACATACATTACACAGACACGCGCATATAAATATATATGTGTGTGTGTGTGTGTGTGTGTGTGTGTGTGTGTGTGTGTGTGTGTGTGTGTGTGTGTGTGTTATGGAATTATTTTAATTTGTTATTTTAATTCATCGTCCAATTGTGTTTCTAGAAAGACTTTCGTTTTTAAAATCTTGAATCTTCTCTGGGCAAATTACACTTGCAACACTCATCCTTTATAAATTCTCCTTCAGTGAAAGGTTTCCTGTGCTGTGTGATTAGCTAGGCTACATCATAACTAGCCAGCGTAGAATTTTCTTGCACTTTATTACCACAAAAAAAACTGCTGTTGTTGAGCTGATAAGCCAGCTGCTATTTGTTTTACTTTTTGATCTCGTTCGGCACCAGTGTAAGAGCTGAAGGCCTGATGTTTTATTTTATAATGCCTTTTAATATTATATTCCTTCATTACTGCAACTGATTCCTGGCAAATTAAACAGACACATATTCCGCTGACCTCTGTGAAGAAATATTCTTTGCCCCATCGTGACTGAAATTTCCTGCACTCACTGTTGATTTTCCTTTTTCTTGCTTGTGCCACGGCTCGCCAAAATGTGATTATGAATTGTTTCTTTCAGTTTGTTCGGTTCGTTTTACTTCATAACAGGACCTGCTGCCTAATTGAATGCATGTAATAGCGACACCCGGTGGTTATTTATTGAAATTTTTCGGAAATTTATCGGTGGTTCATTTTTGTATGGCGGGCCAGATTCTATTAATATTCATAAAAAGCCTCACGGGCCGCCACAAAACTGATCACCGGCCGCAGATGGCCTGCGGGCCGTAGTTTGGACACCCCTGGATTAGGGACTTTGTAAACAGACTTTTCCGACTAAGCATCACTTTGACAACTCTCTAGAGCTCTTATAACACCTTGACAATATCCTACAATACTACTTTTGCCTGCAGGATGAGCAAAAAGCAGAGGATGAATTGGCCAAAAAGCGAGCCGCATTTCTCCTGAAACAACAGAGGAAGGCCGAGGAGGCTCGACTCCGCAAGCAACAACTGGAGGCTGAAAGTGAGCAGAAAAGAGATGAAACCAGGTAATGGATAAAGTCTGGTCCTTTAGGAATATAAAAATGGAGGGGAAAAAAAGTAGAAGTTGAATTATCTGCTTGAATTGTCTTTTATTTCCCAATATCAGGAGGAAAGCTGAAGAGGAAAGAATCAGAAAAGAGGAGGAGAAGGCCAGGAGAGAGTTGATAAAGCAAGAGTACCTTAGGAAGAAACAGCTGGAGCTGTGTGAAGAGCAAGAACAGCCTCAGCCCAAACCCAAGACCAAGCCCAAAAAACAAAGGCTGAAGTCTGTGGTGAAGGAGGAACCCTCCATTGATCCTCTTCCCAAGTGCCCTGCTGCCAGTAATTGTTGAATTTGTGCCTTCTGCTTTTTAGACAACAATATAATAGAACAACAAAAAACATTGACTGCACTTTAACTGACCTATTGAATCTCTGTCCCTCACCAGATGAGAATCTCATCAGTGCCCAGTCTGGCTCTAGTCTATCACTGGCTTCTGTGGCCACCACTGAACCAGACAGTGTCAACTCAGGAGGGGCGGGATCTCAGCGGTAAGTCCTTCCGCATGTCCAACAGTGTGTGCAAATGCTTGCGTGCATTTCATTAATTTCTTTCAGAATCAATCGACTGTTCAGACTGTGACCTCCAAAGCACTTTAATGTTGCTGTTTGTTTGTTTCCATGAACAGAGGAGAATCAGTCGAGTCATTTCCAGGTCTCAGTCGCAATTCCAGTCGGACTACAGAGAGAGACTGGGACAACGGCTCCACCGCGTCTTCCATTACATCAACATCCATGGCGGAATACACGGGTGAGTTTTCGCTTCAATAGTTGTTTTGATACTCAGAAGCTCTGGTTGCTAATTTATTTATGAATTTACTTAAACTGCTTTAGATATGTTTGCACCACAACAACATCCTGTTTTAAAAATAGCATGCTGATGTAATCTCGGTCATGCGTCAGTCAATGTTTGTCTGTGTGCTTGAGTACATAAGCACTTATGCGTTTTTTTTCATCAGGCAGATGTTAGTGAACAAGTAAGCCTGTAGACTCTCTCTTTTGCTCTTGAACTGACAACGTATACATTTAACAAGGGATATGTGCTTTTTTTATTTAAGTCTTGAGTTTGCAGAATAAATGGTGTTGATTTGCACTGAAATGAAATTAATTTAGATTTTTTTTATCTGAATATGTGGGACTTTTTTTCTTTATTTTTCTGTCAATTCTGCCAGAAACCCTAATTTCCAATCGTGATTAGTGTAAATTATTTAACTAATGCTGATGGCAGTAATGTCATGTTCATCATTAATCATTTTTATCTTGATGTTTACTCCAAGGAAGTTTTAAACCATGTAAAGAAGCAGATTGTTTAGAGCAGGGGTCAGCAAACTTGTTCCTGGAGGGCCGGTGTCCTGCAGATTTTAGTTCCAACCCTAATCAAACACACCTAAACAAGCTAATCAAGGTCTTACTAGGTAAAGTAGAAACACCCAGGCAGGTGTGTTGAGGCAAGCTAGAGCTAAATCCTGCAGGGACACCGGCCCTCCTGGACCGAGATCGGTGACCCCTGGTTTAGAGGTTGTTTAAAAAGTTTAGCCACATTTGTTAGGTGTCAGAGTGATGGATGAGCTAGTTTAATTTGTATCACTAAGACTGAGAAGCTCCAGTACACAACAATAAGAGCGGTGTAGGAACACCCTGTCCTAACCAGGTGAAACCACAAATCAATGACCAATACATCTACATTTATTTTAAAATGTAAGAGTCTTTTTGTTTTGCTTTCATTTAGTTTTTTCTTTAGTTTTTTCCTATCCAGTCATTCATTCATTTTCCTTCAGCTTAAGTCCCTTACTTATCAGGGGTCACCACAGTGGAATGAACTATTCCAGCAAATGTTTTAAGCAGTGGATGCCCTTCCAGCCACAACCCAATACCAACTAATCATAGTACATATCCTAGGGATGTTGCATGAATGAATGAACATGAATGAATGAATGCCTATCTGGTCAACATTTCAATGTTTTTGAATTTGAAAGCTGCTAAAAATGCACTTGCCACATTCTATGCACAATTATCATTATTATTACTATTTTGCTTTTACTTATTTTAAAATCTTTTTTTTGCTTCTATTGTTGTTGTTTAGACAATTAGGATTTGTACTGAAAGGAAGGGCAAATGCAAGTTTTGTTGTATTTTGTACAATGACAAAAATTCTGATTCTTCTCGAGTTTTTTGTTTATTCTTGTAACAATTTTTTTTTGTCGCTGTAGGACCCAAACTTTTCAAGGAACCAAGTGCGAAGTCCAACAAGCCGATAATCCACAACGCCATTTCTCATTGCTGCTTAGCAGGGAAAGTCAACGAACCGCAGAAGAACTCCATTCTTGAGGTGTGTGACTTCACAGATTTATCATGAAAATTTGTTTATACAGACCCCTAGTTTTTTTTGGTGCTTTTAAGCAATAAAATGACTTTGTGACTGATTTTATGTCTGTAATTCCCAGAAATTTGCAAACAATTTTGTGATCTTATCTAACATATTAGGTAGCCGACTATGTTCGGTGTGCTATCTGACACAATGACAAGGACACAAATCATAAAAATAAAGCTTCTTTATTTTGTTCTTTTGTCAAGACAAGATCTAAAACAGTTCTAAAATGGTAGGGATTAAGCCCAAGGAAGGCTGTATTAATTTTATGCACGAATTTACTTTTTCTCTCTCTCAGATTTTGTTCCCCGGAGCATCTGACATAATGTACCTCGTTCAGGAAATGCATTAGGGCTTCCTCTACCGCACAGGTGTCAAACTCAGTTCCAAAAGGGCCGCAGCTCTGCACAGTTTAGTTCCAACCCTAATTAAACACAGTTGATCAAACTAATTGAGTCCTTCAGGCTTGTTTGAAACCTACAGGTAAGTGTGTTGGAGCAGGGGTGGAACTAAATTGTGCGGGGCTTCGGCCCTCCAGGAATTGAGTTTGACACCCCTGCTCTACCATAGTAAACCTAAAACACGGATTGCCAACCAAAAAACTTGTTGCAGGGAAGCGTTTTGGTTTTCTCTTGTTAATTGCAGGGAAAGAGTTCAACAAAATCACTTAGCGATTTCATGAACACCAGCCATACATGTAAAAGCACAAATAAGGTCTTTCAATTCGGTCAAGTCCAGCGGCCGTCGTCCTTCAACCAATCTCCATTATTGTAAGCTGCTTACTTGTCTGTCTGTTGCATTGCTCTATTTTTGAGATGTTTGCTTACACTTTTGTTGCAGTCTGAAGCACGTCAAACGCACAAAATGGCCAATTTGCGCCACAGGATGTCTAATCCCATCTTTGCATTGTCTTCACACGTGTGTGAAGTCTTCATTTGCGTGTGCTTACTGCACAGGCTGCAAAACACCCACCCACCCCCATGTAATGTAATGATTGTGAGGGCGTAAGTGGCATGTCATTTTGTCGAAAGACACTCAAATACATCACATAAGCTGCGAATGCAACGTCTATAAGTCATGTAAAACATTTATTTGCAAGCTGAAATAAATATCATTTGATTATATGGTTTGGAATTAGATGTTTTATGATTTTTAGTTGGATTCAGCGATTGCGGAATCGTGAAAAACTAGGGCAGGGGTGGCCAACCATGTTTCTGCAGAGCCCCCTTCCTGTAGATTTCAGTTGCAGCCCATATCAAACACACCTGCCTGCTATTATCACCTGGTGTTCAGGTCCTGATTAATTGGTTCAGGTGTGTTTGATATGGGTAGCAACTGAAATCTGCAGGAAGGTGGCTCTCCAGGAACAGGGTTGGCCACCCCTGCCCTAGGGGGAGTCTGTTTATAATACTAAATCTTGATGGTGAACAAAATTAATTGAAATGATTGTGTCTTGACCGGCAGGAGCTGGAGAGGTGTGAATCCAACCACTTGATGATTCTCTTCCGGGACAGCGGCTGCCAATTCAGAGCCCTTTACTCATACTTCCCTGACACAGAGGAGATCCACAAGCTCACCGGCACCGGGCCCAAGAGCATCACTAAAAAGATGATCGACAAACTCTATAAGTACAGCTCGGACCGCAAGCAGTTCACTGTAATCCCCGCCAAGACTGTGTCTGTGAGTGTAGATGCGCTGACTATCCATAACCACCTGTGGCAAGCTAAAAGACCCGCAGGGCCAAAAAAGAGCGCAAAGTGAAGTCAGATGACACTATTTTTTTTCCATCGAGGTCAGTAGTCACTTTGAATGGAAGAGGTTCGCTGGACAAACAGGCATGAGTTATCATGCACTTCATTTGAATGTGTTTTGGGTTGAAGTAGTACCCACAATCCTGTGGTGTTTTTACATGAATCACTCTTTTGTTACTTGAAGTATTTATTAGTTTGGCACTGATTAGCTCGTTTAAACGAAGCGCTTCCCCCATGATTGTTTGCCTTTTTTTTTACTATTATCTACTTAACGTCTTTCAAAACATGTCTGCTGCCTCCAAGGACTGCCGGAACTCGAATTAATGTACAAAACTTAGCTGACTTGCCTCTCAACCAAATTTTTTTTGCCTCCAAAAACATGCTGCTCCTTTGTTGTCGCCGGGATAATCCCGGGTCTGCATACTTTTGGCCTTCATGCGTTGTGGTACTGTCTGTTTATTCAACTCTTTCAAATAAGCGCCTCGGTTTTAACCCCCCCGCTTGATGGTCTTTTTTGATTGGGAATCAAACAGACCTTGATAAGTGTCAGATGCAGTTTACTTCTCTTTCTCGGTAGCGGCCTCTTCCACTGGACAGTCTGTACTATGGTGCACTTATGATCATGTTTTAGTGCTTTTATTATCATGCAATGTAACCATGTTGATGTTGGCACTGGAGCTTTTTTTTTTTTTTTTTTCCCTCATGCAGAAGAGCAGCATGCTCTGTTATGAAGAGTGTCGCTGTAAACGATTTGAATGACAGTATTTAATATATTCACAATCGGTTACTTCCCTTGCAGTCGCTGTCTAATTATTTACCAAGGTTGAAAACATTCCTCAGCGAAACAAGTCAACACTGCCGACGTCCTTTTGCGTGTAGACGCTCGAAAAAACACTCACAGAAGCCTCGTGTCTGGTGTCAAGATCAATTGAGTGTTGCACATGCACTTTATTTTTTTGCTCATGACGGTGTAGAGGTTTAAAGGGCTTAACGAAACTGTTTTTACTCCTAAAGCTTCAGTAGATTTGAAGGTACTCTGGTAGACACTGAGAAATAAACACTATTAACACCGGAAAAGAGCACACTGACAGCCCCTTACGTCTCTTAAACTACTGTTTCCAAACCATAGGTGTTAGAATTGTCATTTTAAACTGCATTTTTTTGTATATTATGTGTGTTTTTATATATTACCTAAAAGATTGTATTGATGTTGATCACTTTTTTTTTTTCTTTTTAAACACTACTCTTCGTTTTTTTTGGCCATTTTGCTTCCTTTATCTTACCATTATTTATTTTAAGCAAGACTCTGAGAATTAATAAATATTTCAAGTCAATACATTCATTCTCATTATTTTTGTTTATTTCTGATTATTGACATTCTCATCTTTCTTCCACTTTATTTTCTTGCACATTACATTGAGTTTTGTCTGCCCGACTGCATGACTTTAGCTCTGATTTTACAGGTTTTAAGAAATCACAGGAAAATCGGTGCTCTTTCACGTGAGTAACAATCACACCATGTGATCTATCAAAACACGCAATCTGGGAGAATTTCCGATGAGTCGCTGACATCCGCCAGATATTTGGCTTGTTAAATACCTGGAGCTGTCGCCAATTCAAAATCCTACCGTGTGAAATGTGTTCTGATTGAAAATCACATCTGAGATTACTTACAGCCAATGAGAGAGCAGCATTCACTAGGTGGTTTATTTATAAACTAATTTCAAGAGGATCACGTGGTTATGATTGAACACGGCTGGTACCGCATCAGCTCCGTATATTGCACCAATCAGATGAATACTGATGCACTATAAATAGCCAGATTATTCCACTCCAGTCATTTTCGTCTTGAAGAATCCCTCGTTCCACCCCAACTCCTCCCCTCCAACCACGGCGGCCCAGTAGTTAGCACTGTTGCCTCACAGCAAGAACACCCCTAGGTCGGCCCCTCACCAAGGCAGTTGGTGTTTCTGTGTGGAGTTTGCATTTTCTCCCCATGTTCGCATGGGTTTCCCTCAGCAGGGCTCGAAATTGCGACCATTTTGGTCGCATATGCGCCCGAAAATTAATCGATGCGACCTCATAATATATTTGGGCGCATTAGTGCGACCTGTTTTGATTTTTTTTTTAAAACGTGCTGAATCGCTCTTCCCTGCCGCTATATTGGTTCATATTAGCTGTCAATCACTCAAGGCTTTTCACTGTTAGATGACAGGGAGGGAGCTTTTATGTCCACGGGAAATGCAAACGGCTAAAGAGTGAAAACTTAAAGCACGCAGGTTTGCAAAGTGCAAACCCCACCTAAAGTTGAGGCGCAGATGAGAGCGATCATGACACGTGGTGAATATTGATCCGCCAGCTGAGATCAATCGAGTACGCGCTTCTTGGAGAAGGTGCCCGAATCATCATGCGTTGCATTCACTGCGTGTTCAGCGCAAATGTCCGCTAAAAGTCAAATCTAATACTGTATCATCGCCAAAGAAGCTCGCCTTTACTAAGTTTACACTGAAACTGCGTCTCATAACAAACAGCGGTATTGCGCCGATGCTCAACCTGCTCATAAATGGGGTCGGCTGACTCGCCTACTTTTCCACAAACACAGAAAAATGAAAATCAGCTCAGACGGAACCTTTAAATTGACACAAACTGAAACCAAAACTTTTAAAGAGTTATAGAAGTGAGACTTTACTTCCTTTCTTTTGCCTATTCTTTCTTGAGGTGTATATTATTTTTTTTTAATTTAGTTACTGATGACTGTTTTGCAGCTTTCAGCCTTGAATTTAATATTTTATTATAATCTTTTGTTTGTTTTGCAGCAGAAATATTCTTTATTAAACTGACATGCATATATATATGCTGTTTAGCAGTACAAAATAAATATTTCTTACTGCAATGCTTCATTTTTGTTTGATGCAAACTATACATTTATTTTTCATACAGTAACAGACTTTTTATAGCAGATAACTTGCATTCAAGCACATTCAAGGCAGCATGATAATGACAAATGTAATTCATTGTTACTATTATTGTCATTTTCATCATCATTAATAATCTAGAATTATAATACATACACATTTTGGAATTATTGCACACAAATATCAATGTCATCTCAGCCTTAGTTAGATGTCCTAATTGATGTTGTTTTAAAATACAATAAGTCCCTTAAAATACTATTTGCAGCGGTGTTCAATCATTTTTGGTGGGTGCTCCTAAATTTTTTCTGGTGCTCCTAAATTTTTTCTGGTGCTCCTAAATTTTTGAAGTTGGGAGCACCGGTGCTACCAAATAAAAAAGTTAATTTCGAGCCCTGCTCAGGTTTCCCAGTTTCCTCTCACAGTCTAAAGACATACAAGATAAGTTAATTGACTACTCTAAAATAGCATATTGAAACAGCTCTTAGCCAGATATATCACAGCATGTTTACAAGCAGGGGAGTTCTCGAGACCTACCTGAGCTCAAACTCCCCTCTCGCCTTTCAAACGGGAGGGAGCCCTGGACTCGGATATTTTGAGCTCAGGGCTCTCTCCCAGGACAGCATGCCAAATACGCTTTATTATAGAGATCTGCATTCCCGCGGCTGTCCCGCGGGCGCCGCAGGACCCGACCAGATTTCTGCGGCGCGGGAATAAATTTCCGAATAAATCGCGGGAGCGGTCGGTAACGGGTTTAATTTGGGAGGGGAGCGGGCTGTCTGGCAATATCGCGGATATTGCTATGCGAATGAGAGAGAGAGAGAGCCTTGCCTGTGTGTGTGCGCTTGGTGCTTGTGTGTGTGTATGTTAGTGCGCGTGCGCGCGAATCAGAGAGAGAGAGAGAGAGAGAGAGCTTTCCCAGATAGCAAAATACACTCGGGCCAGTTCCGGCTAGATTCTCGCCTACCGGAGACTTACCACTCAGCCCGGCTCCGGCTGCCGGACTCCGGATGCTTGTGGACTCACTGCCCGATTCCAGGCAGATGCGGCGGCCGTAAGTGAGCCGACGCTGCCGCATCCGCGCTGGAATCGGCCCAAGAGTAATGTGCGCTGTGGCCCGGAGCTGGCGCGACTCAGTATTTATATACCTTTATATAAAAACTTTTGGTATTACATTGGTACTTGATACATGGTATTACAAGCCTTTGAGTTGATATAACAGCAAACACCTGTGTGTCTGCTTGGTGCTTGTGTGTGTGTTAGTGCGCGCGCGTATGAGAGAGAGAGAGAGATTTGTCTGTGTGTGTGTGCTTGGTGCTGTGTGTGTGTGTTTATACAGACAGCTTGGCTGTCTGGACTGTATAGCTGGGGGATTTTCGGTTTTGTTCTCCCCCGCTCTTTAGCGGGATCGGGCGCGGCGGGCAGAAAACGGGGCGGGTCGGCAGCGGGACAATAAATTCTTAATATAAGCGGGAGCGGTCGGGTTCGGGCTAAAACCTGGCGGGTGCGGGCGGTAGCGGGATTCAAAATTTAGTCCCGCGCAGATCTCTACTTTATTATCAATCATCAGCTAAGGGTGAACCCCCCACCCCCACATTCCACCGCTTCTGCCTCCTACTCAATTCTAGGATTGGGCGACACGGAGGCAACAAGGTTGCTGGTTCAAGTCCTAGCTGACAAGTCGGCATTTCTGTTTGGAGTTTACATGCTCTCCTCATGTTCGCATGGGTTTCCCCCAGGTACTCTGGTTTCCTCACACAGTCTCAAGACATGAGACACAAGTGAATTAAGTAATAGTAACCATCACAAGCACTTTAATACTGAGCTTTTCTAAATGAGAATGCACTGGTGTGGTTGGCAGTTTATACCAATAGAGTTGGCTTTATAAATCATGAAATAGGCCAAACCAATCTGTGGGTGCTCTCGAGAACTATCTGATCTCGTATCCCTCTAAACGTTTATTGACCAGGCGTCCAGGCCTTGGGCTCATGTATCTCCAAGCTCGGGGTTCTCTCCCAGGACAGCATGCCAAACGTGCTAACATTGTCAAGCATTATCTAAGTGTGAACTCTTGAATATGGGTATCTGCAGGTCACCAGGAGGATGGGGGAGAGCTATTTCAGTCTATTTGGACCCAAGAAATGGAAGACTTATGTAAATATGGCAGGAGCACCTGTGTGTATTTGATGTGTCATCTGAGCAAAACCACAGCGGAGTAGAAAAAGAAAAAAGTTGAAGAGAAATTGCTAATTCAACCCCACTAAAAGGCTTCTTTCTCATTATGTAGTTACAATGGTATACTACATATAAAGATATACTATGTGTCCTCGTGTTGTTTGTCACTTTTGTTTGGTTGGAAGACGCTTGCAGACCAAGACAACATTGTCAGCAGTTCTTCCTATTGTAAAGTCATGCAGTGTGAACCCCAGTCTACGATCCATCTTGCAGTGTAAACAAAGCACCGACAAATTGATAGTCATGCAATGTGAAAGCACCTGTGATGCGACTACTTTAAAAATCGTGCAGTCTGAACTCGGCATTAGAGTGGATGAGTTTTTTTTTTTTTGTTGGCAAATTATTAGGTTAATTTTGTCGTGATTGGAGTCCTGACTCCCTCCACCTGGGGAATCGCTGGCCTTGAACGCTGTATCCTTGACAGTCCACTAAAGACACATTTGTATCCTGGAAACGGTCAGTTTATCCTCAGCGGGGGGCTCTACAGGTCTGACATTCAGTGGATCGATTGACGTTACACAGCAACTCTGAGGATATTGTTATTTGATGTTTTTCAAATATGCATGGTGAGTATCATTACATCTATTGTTGGCTTCAGAAACAAATCGATATAAACCAATGTTTCTTTTTCTGTCTAGTTCTCTTCATTTTTGTGGCATTTCAGTGCGTACGTGAGGCACGGTTTCAGTCTTGTATATACACCGGGACGGACTATGTGTGCAAGGAGATCCCAGAAGGTAAGATATTTATTCAAAAGATGAGCTTGTCTTGTGCAGGTTCATCAAATAAAAGGAACTTTAGAAATGAAAGGGATATATTGATACTTCTGTTCAGCAAGGTTGGATCAAACTAATTAGGTTACATGATTGCATTTTTGTCCGAAAAGTTGAAAATGAGGTGGTATAGCACTTTAATGTCACTCTATGACATACTAATAGATGCAAGAAGGCATCACTCTCCACTTGATCCAAATCAGTTAATGTTTCTTTTAAACAGTCATTTTGAGGGGTGTTTGAAACATTGACATCAAGAGTATGTTTTTGCTCAACCATGGATGTCAATGGCTTGTGATTTTCAGAATTAAAAAAAAAAAAAAAACTTTTAGTTAAACTTAAAACCCTTCAGACGATATATAACCTCACCGGCCACTTTATTAGGTACACCTGTCCAACTGCTTGCCAACTCGAAT